AGCAGCTGTTGATGAAGCCAAGAACTGTACTGTGGTCTTTTTTTTTTTTTTTAAACAGTTTTATTGGCACCTCATCTGCCTATCAATAGTTCATTCATATCAAGAAGAGCTGTGCAGTCATTACCACAGTAAATTTTGGAACATTTTCTTCTTTGTACAGTTGTTCTTCATGTAATTATTTTTTAAATTGTGGCAGAAATATACACAACCAAACATTCTTTAATTCAACAACTTCATGTATAATCCAGGACATCAGTTATACTCTTTTTTAATTTAATTAATTTTTAAAATATATATACTCTAGAATTGTTCTTATATCTTTATTTCTGATGGAGCATCATGAATGTACATGTTCACTTTTTCTTTTTTTAAGCAAACGGGAAGAAATGTATTGGAGCCCATATGGGAAACCCTAGAGGGGCCCAGCATCCCCTACTGTGTAGGCATGCCCAGCAAAGGGTCACACCATTCACTGTACTCCCATGTCCAAGAGGGACTCCCCTTGAGCCAGCCCCAAAGCCCCAGGCCTGGCTGGGGGCGGGGATGTGTTCCCTTCTTGTGGAGTCCTTTCTTTGTATCTTTCAACACAGGCTACTTGGCATTCTAGTTTGAGTTTGTAGTTGTTGAGGTTGCCATCACAGCCACTGTAGAAAAGCCTTTGACATCTTTTGGAAGTTTTGTTGTAGAAATATCGAAAATGAATTTCAAAGCCGCTGCCAGAGTCCGTACCCATTGTGCATGGATCTCAGCTCCTCTTGGTGGTACAGGGCAGGAGAGGGGGAGGGGAGCGAGGACCGGGAGAGAGGAGTACTATGTCCTTTGTATACATTAACTCTCGTCTTCTCAATGTTCTTTCCCTTCTCTTCTATTGACTCTAAAGTTTCTCAAGCACGAGTACGGGTATAAAAGCAACTGAGTTGACTTTTTCCTTTATTTGTTCACCAACAAGCAGTTTTCTATTGTTTTTAGTTGCTTTTGAGTGTAGCCCCAACTCAGAGGTACCACAAGAACCTCAGAACAAAATGCTGCCTGGGCCCTTGCCATCCCAGTAGCAGATTATAAGGAAGGACCTTTCCAAATGGCTTGAGAGCTGCCTCCTCGCTTGAGATCTTAGGAGATCCTCCTTTGAGAATGATCACTGTCCCTCCAGAGAGTAAAGCAAGAGCTGGAAGTATGTCGTCACCAGAGCTCAGATGAGGATCAAAATGTTACAGAAGAGCTGGGGGGAGGGGGGGGTGTTTGTTGTTGTTATTTTTTTAGGAGGACCCCAGCACCTGATAAAAACTTTGAACTCCGTTCCTCTTTCGGCCGTGCTTGAAAGCAGAACTGCCGCCATGGGCCGCGTCAACCAGGGACAGAGGAAAGGTGCTGGCTCTGTTCCTTGTGCATGTAAGCATCTTAAGGGCGTCGCGCGACTGTGCGCCGTGGACTTCGCCGAGCGGCACGGCTACATCAAGGGCATAGTGAAGGACATTATCCACGACCCAAGGTGGTTTCAGAGACGCCTATCGGTTTAAGAAATGGACAGAACTGTTCATCGCAGCTGAAGGCATACACACCGGCCAGTTTGTGTCCTGCGGCAAAAAGGCCCAGCTCAGTATCGGCAATGTTCTCCTGGTGGGCACCATCCCTGAGGGCACCATCGTGGGCTGTCTGGAGGAGAAGCCTGGAGACCCAGGCAGGCTGGGAACCATGCCACTATCATCTCCCACAATCCCGAGAGACCAAGAAAACCCAAGTGAAGCTGCCCTCGGGCTCCAAGAAGGTCATCACCTGCCAACAGAGCTGTAGTTGGTGTGGTGGCCAGTGGTGGCCGCATAGACGAGCCCATCCTGAAGGCTGGTCGTGCCTATCACAAGTCTAAGGCCAAGAGGAACTGCTGGGCTCGCGTGCGGGGTGTGGCCATGAACCCTGTGGAGCATGCCTTCGGAGGTGGTAACCACCAGCACATTGGCAAGCCCTCAGCCATCCGCAGAGATGCCCCTGCTGGTCGCAAAGTGGGTCTCATTGCTGCTCGCCGGACTGGGCGGCTCCGGGGAACCAAGACTGTGCGGGAGAAGGAGAACTAGGGCTGAGGACTCAATCAATTCTTTTCTCCTGTCACCTCAAAAGAAAAAAAAACAAAAACAAAAAACTTTGAACTCTGTCCACAGAAGAACTATGTGCAACATTTTGCATGGGCTCAGGGGTACATAGACTCTAGGTTCGGAAAATCCTGTTGTAGACACACAGAGAATGGTATATAGACAGTCCCTTGACTTAAGGATCAAGAGCCAAGGTTCTGCTGCAGACCCTGTCCTTAGTCTGGAGACCTTAAACAAATTGCCTCTCTGGGCTTTTAATTTCTTCTTGTGGAAAATAATCTGATAGGTGGTGCCTTTTAGCTTCAAAATATGGATGTAGCATGAAAATCACTAGATTGCTTCTAAGACCTGCTTTCAAACACAAATGAGTGCTTGCTAGTTGCGTGAGAGTGGGCAAAATATTCACCCCATCTGAACATCAATCATCCATGAATACTGTCTTCTTAAACTATGTAAAAAGTTTAGTAATTTTAACAAAGATCTCATTAGTCCCCGTTGAGAGCACGTTGTTGCTGAATAGTCCCTTCTCAGCATGTTAGCGGTCCCTTCTGCCCTCAAGGTACCTTCTCTGTCGGAGTACTCACCTGTCTCTCCTGCCAGCTGCGCTCGCCGCCAGGGCGGGTCATAAGTGCACTTGTCATGCATGTCCTTATGGGAGTAAAATTACTTATATAATTATCTTTGTTCTTGAGGAGCGGAAGATGTTCATAAATAAAGTTTTTTTGTTTTGATTCTAAGGAAAAAATTAGATCGCCTATTTGGGGAAATCTTGGGAGCAGTTTTTGTCTTTTAGGTAGGGCTTCCCTCTGCCCCCCAACTTTCATACCATTTGTGAAAATGACTAAGAGACAGAAGCTTGACAGTTGATCAGCGGTTCCCAAGAGTAAAGAATATGAAGTCTTGCCATCATGATCATGCAACCTGACTTCATGAACATTCACCAGTGCTGGCACCCTCTGTCCATTCCCTGCACCCGGACCTGTCCCCTTCATTGTACAGGAAGCGCAGCTGTGAAGGGCCCAGGCTGGTCTTTTGTCCTAGAGCAAGCTGAGGCAGGTGTCTCCCTTTCCCAGGGCTTTCAAGCCTTTACCCCCTATGTAGGGACTGAGGCAGACGGAGTCAGTTGTAAACCTCATTCTGCTATGGCACTGGGGAGCTGGACACAAACGAGGCCAGGGACCCGTCTTAGCACGTCACTATGGAGTGGGATCTCTGCCTACTGTCCCTTCCAACCCGCATGCAGCAATCTGCTGCCTGGGATGGGTGCCCCGGGGCTCCTCACTCCCCAGGGGGGTGGCAAGGAGCGCTTGCATATCTGTGAGCAAGGCCCAGCTCCCACTTGGCTCCCTTCGGGGCTCACAGATAACTCCGCCTGCCATCACACTTCTCCCTGCACCCAGCAGAAACCCAGCCCACCAGGCAGGTCATGTGTAAGAGTGAGGATTGTATTAAAAGTGAATTTATAAAGAAGGGGACTGACTATATTGCAGTTTTTTAAAAGGCACAACATTTTCTTTATTGGCACATAATTCACATATCATACAATACGATATCGAGTAATTGTACAATCTTTACCATAGTCAATTTTAGAACATTTTATTTTTCCCCCTATGATTAAATCACCTTTCAAATGAGTTGTATTGTTTTGGTGGGGGGGATTATTTAAGAAACTGCCTTACATTGGGGAGCATCCTTTTGTGGACACAAACAATGAAAACTTATCTTTAAGACTTGAAGCTATAATTAAATTAGGGTGAGGGAGAAAATCAGGATTTTGAGAAACGGACTAGTTTCTGAGTGATAGTATGTAGATATTTATATAATGTCTTATCACATAAATGCACAGGAAGAAAAACCCCATTCTAAACATTACCTAGTAATAAAAGTCATCTCTCCTGAATACTGGTAATCCCCGAAGACACAAATTTGATTCATAAAGATACTGATAGTAAAAATCAATAATTGTAAAAGTTCTGTTTGTTTTTTTCTTGAGTTGGACTCAGCGAGAGGGCACTAGGTTTGAGGTGAAAGGAAACGAGTGGTGGTAGTAAAGTGGGCTGTGCATTGGGCTGCTGAACCAAGATCAGTGTTTCAAATGCACCAACCGCTCTGAAAGCAATCTGAGGCGATGGCTCCCTCAAAGACCTCCTGTCTCAGAAATCCCAGGGACTGGATCTACTGTGGCCTAAGTGGTCGATGTATGTTGGCATCAACTCAGTGGCAGGGGCTTGGTTTGGTATTGGACGTGAAAGGAAAGAGCCCCAGTGGCTTAGCAGTCGTGCAGTCAGCTATGGAGTGGTCAGCAGTTTGAACCTTCCAGCCGTCCTCTGGAGGAAGCGGTGCCTGTGCTTTTTCAGTAGCTGTGGAGCCCAGGTAGCACAGTGGTTGTGCATTAGGCTGCTGAATGCAAGGTCTGCAGTTCAAGACCACCAACCACTCCGTGGAGAAAGGCGGCTTTCTACTCCCCCAGTTAAAGTCTTCATGGGGGCAGTTCCACCCTGTCCTGTAGGGTCACCCTGAGCCAGCATCGACTTGGTGGCAGGGAGTTTTCTGGGTTTTATTTTATTGGGTTTTTTGTGTGTGGTTTTGTTATTCCTAGCACAGCAAAAAGTCAAATCTGTAGACAGTTTACTTAAATAGAAAAATCCCTTAATTCAGAACATTGGAGTCTTATCCAGTATATTTTCCCATAATGTTAATGGGTTTTCAGACTGATCTCAAAATATTTAAGCAAAGTTTATTTCAACTACCTTTGACCTACTTTTCTTCTTCTTTGGATAGTCTTTTTTTTTTTATTGCATACATGCATGGGTTTATTCCAGACAAACATGTTTAAGTATGTACCTCCCATCCATAGATGGACAGAGACAAGCTCGCTAGTTAGTAAACTTGTCTCATCCTCGATAAACAAAACTAAGCGGCAGCTCTGCTGCGTTCAAGTCAGTTTCAACTCTGAGTGACCCTTTCCAAAACCAAGCTCACTTCCAGCAAGTGATGCCAACTCACAGTGACCCGACAGGACAGGGTAAAACCGCCCCAGGAGTTTCCCAGACTGCGACTCCTTAGAAGAACGGAAAGTCCTGTGTTTCTCCCAGTGACCCTATAGGAGAGAATAAAATGGCCCCAAAGGGTTTCCAAGAGTTTGGATATGTATGGAAGCCGACACCCTCATCTTTTTCCCATGGACTGGCTGGAGGATTTGAACCACTGCACCACTAGAGTGTGGTTAGCGGTCTAAAAGGCAGCTCTGTTACTCAGTTCTCAGGGCTCTGGTAAATGTGTAGTTGAATTAATCCCTGTTTAACGCTGCAGGGGGAACACACCTGAAACGAGAGGAACGGCCTATGTGGTCTATGAAGACATCTTTGATGCCAAGAACGCGTGTGATCACCTGTCGGGATTCAATGTTTGTAACAGATACCTTGTGGTTTTGTACTACAATGCCAACAGGGTAAGTACACCAACGGTGACCCTATTTACAGATCCGTGTAGAGCTGAACCATGCCGTGATGGGAAATGGGTATTCTGGTCAGGACCGTCATAGCCATATTCCACCTACCCCAGCCCAGCCCCCGCTAGTGCTCTTGGGGACGTTCTTTTGGTTGTAGGTCACTAACTTCGGGGCTGAATCATTTTCAGGCTTTTCAGAAGATGGACACGAAGAAGAAGGAGGAACAGCTGAAGCTTCTGAAGGAGAAGTACGGCATCAACACGGACCCACCCAAGTAACACTTGTCTGCACTTCCTCTTGGACTCACCCACGGACCAGCACCACCACTGTTTCTTTCCTTCTAATCAATACTAAGTAATGTGATGTTTGCATTTGAGACTCAAAACGACCAGCTAGAAACTTGATACGTGTTAGAATGTGTTCATAATAAACTTGGAGTTTTTTGTAAAACCTGTTGGTTGTGAATTCTTGAACTTTCCCCTCTTGTGTGTAACATGGGGAGGGTGGGAGGAGACCCTGGACCCGGATCCAGAACCGCCCAGTGGTAGGTGTCCTCCAGACTCCGAGGTCTCTTCCTTTTTTCTTCTCGCGACAGTTTTATTAGCAGGTAACTTACATATCATGTAATTCACATGTTTCTTAATGACAGGGACCTTTTTGTGTTTTCTGTGTCCTTCATTGTCCACCCAGTAACTGTCTATTAATAATGAAATCTTCGTGACAACTCAAATCTAAAAGATAATCTCCATTTTGCAGAGAAAACCAAAGCTCATGTTCAATGACAGCAACAGTTCCTATGTTTGTACAGCACTTAAACCATATTTTCCAGTTAATACGTTTGTGAACAGGGGAACCCTGTGGAGTAGGAACCCTGGTGATGCGGTGTGCTGTTTTACCGGACTTTTAACAGAAAGGCACTCTAAAGAAGAAAGATGTGACAGGCAGCTTCTGTAAAGATTTACAGTCTTGGAAACCCTATTGGACGTTTTGACTCTGTTCTATAGGGTCTCTGTGAGTTGGACTTAATGGTAATGCATTGCCCTTCAACTGGAGTTCCTGGTCAGTGCAAATAGTTTCCACACTCAACTGCTAACTAAATGGTTGGAGGTTCAAGCCCACCTAGAGACCCCACAGAAGAAAGGCCTGATGCATCAATCTCTGCAGTCCGCATGGAACACAGTTCTACTCTGACACACAGGGTGACCAGGAATAGGAATCTACTTAATGGCAGCTAGTTTTACCATTAGAACCGAGGTCTGTTCTAGAAAGAGCCATTCAGAGGAGAGCACACAGTTCAAAATTTGGGATCAAGCTGTTTGCGTATCGTGTTGGTAGATGTCTAAAATCGTGTTTATGTAGCCTTTTTGAATTATTGTTTATATTGGGGACCTTAATTCCTAGTGCAATTTTGCCATAAAAATGCACGGTTGAGGAACTGATATCAAGGGCTCAAAGAAAAACAAAATGCTTTGAAAATGATGATGGCAGCATACGTGAAAATGTGCTTGACACAATAGATGAATGTATGGATTATGATAAGAGATGTAAGAGCCCCCAATAAAAGTACTTAATTTTAAAAGTGTACTGGTCAGTGTTGTAATCATGGACTCCAGTGCAATGAAGTTTGGTTGTTATGATACCACGTTGCATCATACTGGGCACTTTGTGGGGAGATTATTGTTAGTCATCCAGTGGCTCCTGACTCTGACCCCTGTGTATGATGGACAACAGAACATTGTCCAGCCCTGTGCCATCCTCACAACTGTCGTGTTTCAGTCCATTGCTGGAGCCACTCTGTCAGATCTCATCGAGGGTCTTCCTCTTTGTTGCAGCTCCTCCACTTTACCAGGCCTCATGTCCTCCAGGGACTTTTCTCTTGGTAAAATGTCCAGCGTATGAGACGAAGCCTTGCCATCCTCAATTTAATTAGTATTTTGGCTGCACTTTTTTCCAAAACAAATTTGCTTGTTCTGGCAGACCATGGTGCTTCCAATATTCTTTACCAGCACTATAATTCAAATGCATCTTCCCCTGTCTTTCTTATTCCCAACTTTTCACATGTGTATGCGGTGACTGGAAATACCATGACTGGGGTCGGGCACATCTTAGTTCTCAACGTGACATGCTTGCTCTTCAAAACATTAAACAGGTCTGTGAGATCGATTTGCCCAAAACAATACATCACTTGGTTTCTTGACAACAGCTTCCATGAGCGTTGACTGTGAAGGAAATCCTGCAGTCTTCTCTATCATGATGTTATCTTTTGATTGGTCCCTTGTGGGGATTTTGGTTTTACTGTGAGTTGCAACCCATACTGAAAGCTACGATCCTTGATCTTCATCAGCAAGTGCATCAAGGTCTCCTTGCTTTTAGCAAGCAAGGTGTGTCACATGCATATTGTAGGTTGCTACTAATGCCTGTTCTTCATATAGTCCAGCTTGGGTTATTTCCTTAGCATACGGATTTAATAAGTGCGATAAAAGGAGAAAACCTGTTGCATCTCATCAGCAACAAGTTCCACGTGAGCATAATTAAGTATTCTGAAAAAATTCTCATTCTCCTCAGTGTGATCCATAGTTTGTTATGAACCTCAAAGTGGAATGTCTTTGCCTCGTCAATAAAACACAACATCTTTCTGGTATTCTCTGCTTTCACCCCAAATCCATCCGATAGCAGCAATGACATCCCTTGTTCCACTTGATCTTTCTGAATGCAACTTAAGTTTCTGGTAGCTCCCTTTTGGTGTACTCCTGCAACTGTTGGTGAATTATTTTAGCAAAGTTTTACCTGCATGTGATATTAGTGATATTATTTGGTACTTTGTGCACTCTGTTGGCTTACCTTTCTTTGGGATGGGTACAGATATGGATCTTTTCCAGTTGGTTCCAAATTCTTGGCATGGAGGAATCAGTGCCTCATAAGTGTTTATAAACATTTCAACTCATATTCCATCAACTTCTGGGACCTTATTTTTCCCTATTGCCTTCAGTGCAACTTGGACTTCTCCCTTTAGTACTATTGGTTCGTGACCATATTGCAACCACTTGAAATCGTTGAATGTCAGCCAGTTCTTTTTGGTTCAGTGGTGGTGTATTCTATTTTCTTTTGAAAGAAAATGAATCATTCAATATTTTGCTCCCCAAAAGTCTTTCAATATTGCAACTTGAGCCTTGAACTTTTTCTTCAGTTCTTTAAGGTTGAGATATGCTGAGCATGTTCTTCCTTTTCTAAGTCCAAATCTTTACACATTTCACTATAAATTTTACTTTCTCTTCTTACGTTGCCCTTTGACATTTTCTATTCAGCTCTTTCACCATGTTCTTCCATTTGCTCTAGCTATTCTCAAATCGAGGGAGTCCTGGTGGTGTAGTGGTTATGTGTAGGGCTACTTAACCATAAGGTCAGCAGTTTGAAACCACCAGTGTCTGTGTGGGAGGAAGACAAGGCTTTCAATTCCCAAGAGTTAGTCTTGGAAACCCACAGGGCCAATTCTCTATTCTATAGGGTCAGTAGTCAGAATCGCCTCAATGGGAGTGAGTTTGGTTTTAGTATTTTATGATCAAGAACAAGTTTCAAAAATAAAAAGAACAAGTTTTAGAATCTCTTCTGACATCCACTTTGATCTTATCTTCCTGTCTTGTTAATGGCCATTTGCCTTCTTCATGTGTGTTTCTGATGCCATCTCACAGTTCATCAGGTCTTCTGTCATTAGTGTTCCAGGGAGTCACATCTATTCTTGAGATGTTCTCGGAATTTAGGTGTTGTATTTTGGCTCTCCTGGACCTTTAAAAATGTTCTTCTCCTTCAAATTGAAATTACATATGAGCAATTAACTGATGGTCTGTTCCACAACCAGTTCCTGGCCTTGTTTTGGCTACTAATATTGAGCTCCTCCATCGTCTCTTCCAACAGATGCAGTCTGTTTGATTTGTGTATTCCATTTGGTAAAGTCCAGGTGCACAGTCACTTTATGTTGTTGCAAGTTGTTGGTCTTCTACAATTCTATCATGCGATCTACAGCTTCGTTTCTATCACCAAGACTTATTTTCCAACTATGGTTCCTTCCTTTTTGTTTCCAGCGTTTGCATTCCAATCACCAATAATTATCAATGCATTCTTGATTGCATGTTTGTTCAATTTCAGACTGAAGACGTTGGTAAAACTTTTCAATTTATTCATCATTAGCTTTTGTGGCTGGTGCATAAAGTTGAATAATAGTTGTTTTGACTGGATTTCCTTGTCTTTGGATAGATATAATCTTTTTTTTTTTTAATCATCTCTGTCTTGAAGTTCTTTTTTTTTTT